GTGCCCAGCAAAAGGAAAAGACTGTGTGAGATTTGGGTTAAATCACCATTTTGCCAGGGTATGTTTGCAAAATCCTGTCAACCCCACTTCTTATCCAAGATGGGGGCAACAACAAAGTAGAGGGAACCCGGGTCGTGGTAGGAGAAATACAGGGTACGTAAGGGACACAAACCAGCGTGAAAACCAGGACAAGGAAAGTCGAGGTACAAGCAAAAGTCACCAGTCAACTCATCAATTAGATGCACAATGCCACTACACTGATGACTATGAACAGGGGGATGAGTACCAGATATACTCACTAGAAACTCAGCAGGCATATAATGTAACCACAAACAAAATGGGCAAGAAATACTTTGTCTACCTCTCAACATCAACATCAGGAAACAAGTTTACACCAGTAAAGTACCAGATAGATTCTGCAGCCACGTGTAATACCATTTCCGATCAGACTGTTAGAGATATGTTTCCAGAGGCAACTATTCAAAGATCCCCATTCATATTGCATCCTTATGGTGATGCAAAGCCCCTTCACCCGTTGGGACAAGTCAGTTTAGTATGTGAACGAAAGAACAAGTTTGAACTTTTGACATTTCAAGTACTTCCCCATGATCAGTTGAAAGGAAAGCCAGCTTTACATTCTGGCCAAGACAGTGAAAATCTTGGACTGATAAAGATTGAAGCTGATTAGGTATTTACTTTGACTTCTAAAGTACATGATGTTGCAGATGTTACAGATGGTGGAGACTTACCAGGGTTTTTAGGCAGGCAGACCAGACTGCGGTTCATCAAATCTTCAAGACTCAAATGAATCCATGTGCATGGAGGAAAAGAAACAAATGGAAATTACAGATCCCAGTAGTCTATGTGCATGCAATCATCTTGAGACTATACACAGCAAGGTGCCTGGACAATGCACTATGCCACCTCCAGCACCATCAGAGCCTATTGTAGTACCAAGGAAAAGGATGTTACCTCCACCTGGTCAACTCACTAAGCACAACGTGCTGAAGGAATACCCAGAAAATTTTGAAGGAGTGGGGTCCCTGGGACCTCCAGTTCATTTCAAGGTGAAAACTGATGTTGTTCCCATACAGATGCCAATACACAGAGTTCCTGTAGCAAAAAGGGAAAAGGAAAAGATTGCAATTGATAAATGTAGAAGCTGGTATACTAGCAAAGGTGGATGAGCCAACACCATGGTGCTCAAATGTTCTAATAAGAGAAACTCCAAAAAAGTTCAGGGTATGCATAGATCCCAGTCAAACTGAACAAAGCCATCCTTCGACCAATATGTCAAATGCCGACACTCAATGAACAGCTTCACAAATTATGCAACGCCAAGTGTTTTTCACTGGTAGATGTCTGTGATGGTTTTCTTCATCTTCCTTTGGATGAAGAATCATCTTTCATGACTACGATGCACACGTCTTATGGCAGGTATAGATGGCTACGCCTGCCATTTGGAATTACAAGTGCACCTCCAAATAGTTCCAAATGAGACTATCTGCTGCACTAGAAGGTCTAGATGGAACCATATCAATGACTGATGACATACTCATATACGGTGAAGGAAACACATATGATGAGGTGGAACAGGATCATGATCGACGCTTTATAGCATTAATGGAAAGATGCTTGACGAAAAAATATCAAGTGCCAACCTTCTAAACTGAAGTTCAAAATGAAGGAACTGAAATTTGTCGGCAACATAATTACTGACAAAGGAATGAAAGCGGACCCAGACAAGGTTGCTGCGATCACAGAAATGCCTCCTCCACGCAACAAGGCTAGGCTCCTGAGATTCATAGGGATGGTCAACTACTTATCACCCTTCTGTGAAAATCTGAGTGCAACAATTCGCCCTCTCACAATGCTCACACAGGAAGGTGTACCATTCTCTTGGGCTTCAACACAGGAAACTGCATTCAATCAGGCCAAACAACTTATATCAACAGCACCTGTGCTAAGTTATTATGACCTGCAAAAGAATGTGGTATTGCAAGTGGATGCTAGTGAGGAAGGTCTTGGGGGTGCCTTACTTCAGCCTGATGCTAATGGAAAACTTCATCCAGCGGCATTCACATCCTGCAGCATGAATGCAACAGAACAGAGATATTCCCAAATTGAGAAGGAGTGTCTTGCGATATGCAATACAATGGCCAAGTTTGACCAGTGGCTGTAACATGAATATGATGAGCACAATCCACAGCTCCATGAAGAAACTGAGACCAGACTCCGAGAGGAAACTGCGAAAGATCCATTGATGTCTCAGTTGTACACACTGATAGGTCATGGATGGCCAGATGACAGAAACCTACTGGATCCAGCTTTGGCCTCCTACTGGGGCTATAGAGATGAACTTAGCATCAGCAATGGGATCATATACAAAGGTTCACTTGTGATGATCCCAAAGAGCATGTACAGAGAGATGCTGGAAAAGATACACTTGAATCACTTTGGAGCTGAATCAAACATACGAATGGCTCGAGAGGTCCTCTTTTGGCCTGGGATGAGGAACTCTATTCATGATATGTGCAGTGCGTGTGGAACATGTGCACAGTATGGAAATGAAGCACCCAGAGAACCCATGAAGTCTTTGCCAATACCCACCGTGTCCTGGCAAATTATAAGTCAAGATTTATTTGCCTTTGAGAAAAAGACTTACCTTGTCACAGTTTGTCACTTCTCTGACTGGATTGAGGTTGACGAATTGGAAGACACTCTCTCCGCTACAGTGATAGCCCAAACAAAGGCTCATTTCTCTCGCTATGGGATTCCGATTGTGTGTCATACAGACAATGGACCTCAGTTCATCAGCAAAGAATATGAAGACTTTGCTCAGCAGTATCACTTCAAGCACACAACGTCTTCACCATATCATCCACAAGGAAACGGAAAGGCTGAGTCAGCTGTCAAAGTGGCAAAAGCTATGATGAAGAAATCTGATGACAAAGAACTGGCATTCTTGAACTACAGAAATACTCCTCAAAAGGGACATACCTATTCACCTGCACAGCGCATGATGAATCGTCGCACAAGGACTTTGCTGCCGACACCAAATCAACTTCTGCAGCACCAGGTAGTGGATCCCAAAATAGTTTATAGAGAGATCAGGGGCAAAAGAATCTCTAGCAAGACTCAGTATGATAGATCGTCTGGTACAGAGCATGAACCAATAGAAACTGGCAGTTATGTGTATGCTAAACCTCCACCAAACCAGAGAGGAAAACCTTGGGCATATGGGCAAGTCATCCACAAGGACAATACAAGGTCTTACAAAATAAAAAACCCTGGTAGCACACTGAGAAGAAACCGTGTGCAAATCAAGCCAGCAGCTGCGCCACCACCATCAAACAACTACAACTCATCACAGAGGGCGCATAATCAATTGATCTTGAAGAATGCCGAAGTCCAAACAGCTGTACTAAGTTCACCCATGAAACCTGTGACAGATCGAAGTGTAACGGCCCAAGCCAGCCCTAGCATTACACAGAATGTAGAACAATCAAAGACTACACAGCCAGGTTTTCAACCTACAGAAAGTGTTACAGATATTACCAAGATATCTGAAGAGACTTGCTCAGTAAAACGTCCACTCAGGGAAAAAAGATTGCATTTAAGATACAATGACTATATCATGCTTCAGTGAATTGATGTAATAATTGCCAACATGGACATGCATGAATTACTGTCATGAACTTTGAGGCAAGACTATAAGATGCGGTTGCATATATACAGACAGTGCCTGTGTGAACTAAGCAGATACATTTAACTATCTGATCATTGCAGCTGTTTTAATGGTTACAATCGTTTAATATCATTTGAGTTAAAGGAGACATACTCTCTTTCTTTTTTTTTCTTCTTTTTTTTTTGTTTCTTCCAAAGGAGGGGAGATGTTAGTATGTTCATTTCCGAGTTATTCCGATTGTTGGAAATACAAAGTATTGCGAATGTCAGGCCGGAAGTAGCATGGTCGGGTATCCCTAAAAGATGGCAGCCCGCATGTGTTGTGATCGAGTCCCGGTGTATCTTCAGGTGTAATAAAGCCTCTGCAAATCAAGACAACTGAACTGTGTCTTTATCATTGACAAGGCATCCGATCTCTGATCAGAAGGCCTGTGGTTCGAATCCCATCACGGGACTCGGAAATTTTATGGCCGCTAAGACAATGTGATCGAGAGAAATACATTGCATAGTTTGTCACAATGTCTCATCTACAACTGAGATGTCAGGAGATACACTCCAGAAATGAACATGAGTTCACTTTAAATTGTTTATGTTCCCTCCCATGTATGTAGATCACGGGCTGCACAAACATGTTCAATGGGTTGCATAAATGTGGTGGACAGGTTCCACATGAGTGAAGAATGGCGTCATGCATTGCCCAAGTGTGGAAGGGGAATACCCGTGAAGATCCAGGGTAGAATAGGTCTTCAGTAACCCTTGCTTGCTGTAAAAGGTGACATTGCTTGTCGTAAGAGGCGACTAAAGCGATCGAGTGGTCAGGCTCGGTGACTTCATTGATGAATACCATCGTATCCCAATTGTGTGGATTGATGCTCATGATGTCAATCACTGGATTGTCTGCTCCAGACTAGACTCGATTATTTATAGACCGCCGTCATATAGCTGGAATATTGCTGAGTGCGGCAACAGCAAAGAAACAAACAAACATATCCTAAATTCTCTTAAAATACATCTGAAAGGTCACAAGACCAATGTCTGCCACAACAGCCACTTTAAAAAGGTATTTACGGCCATTACTGTCACTTTTCTGCAAAATGTCAGCCTCAGTGATCTTTTGCAAGTTTGGTACTCCGGTAAGTGTTAAAGAAATTTATTAATGTGCATTATTATTATTATTGCAGCAATATTCTGGATACCTCTAGTATATTTAGTAATATTTTGGGCTCTTTAATATTCTTATCCAGGTGAGCTTCCAATGTCATGATACTTTAGTTTCCACAGTTGTGTTTACATGCTATATTATATTACAACAGGTTACATCATGTAAGCTGAACATCACAATCCACATTGTGTCCTACAACTGTAGCAGTGCAGATACCATCAAATATCTACGTACCTTGGCCACTGCTACAAATGGAAGGTATGATTTTCTAAAATTGTAAGAGTTTTTGGAGTTAAAATAGATCACCAGCAACTTATACTTTTGGTAAAAGGATACAAAATGGATCAAGGGGTTTGGCTCGGTGACATAATTGATTGTCATCATATCCAAATGAAGTGGGACTTTGCTAATAATATATGTCACTTGTTTGTCTGGGCAATACTCAATGTTTACAGGCTGAATCATGACAACAACCAAGCAACCACACATCTTTGCCCAGTTTGACTTCAAAACTCATGTACCTCCAAAATTGAAGGGCAAGGCCAGGCATCACAAGAATTTGTGAACAAGATTATCTTGAATATGAATAAATTAGACTTTTAATAAACATGATCTCTAATGTGGGATCTGGTTTATTTCGAGGTTGTTTCAAATGTCAAGGTCACATTGAAGGTCATTCACTCATGAAATTACTTGTAACCAGTTTTGCTTGGCATGTATTAATATGTAATATTTACATGAATTTATAACTAAAATGTTGTTGCATTTGACTGGTCACTTGATCATTCATCTGTAATAGGCGCCGAGTTCTGAGTAAGTTCGGGTGGCTGAAGATTGTCTGACCATGTGTTGCATTCCATTATGTAAATCTTGCGCAGTTGACCTGACCCCTCAGGCCAAACTCCCTTGGGAACTTGGGGAAGAAGACATGATTCAAACACCAGTTAAAATTATACAAAAACAAATTTAATGGAAGTGGCTGGGTTGACCACCCTTCGCCTTATTTGATTGAACACCAGAAAAAGCAAATTGCAACTTCCTTCTCATTTTAGACTTGAAATTGAAACTAATATACATAATTTCCTTTTCTACTTCTGGCAATGAAAAAATAAGGATTCTTATAACAAGACACTTGTTGTCCAGTACCAAAAACGGATGGTAGTGTGGTTAAACTGTGGTCCGTACACAATCTGGTCTGGACCAGACAATGAAGTGATTGACATAATGAGCATAGCAATTTACGCAATTGGTGTACGATGACTGTGTTGGTCACTGAGCCTGACCACCCAATCCCACTAGTCGCCTCTTACGATAAGCATAGTGGCCTCTTATGTTTGCTTGTTGTTTAATGCAACACTCGGCAATATTCCATCTGTATGAAGGCAGTCTGTAAATAATCGAGTATGGAGCAGACAATCCAGTGATTGACATCATGAGCATCAAACCAAGCAATTGGGATGCAATTACATGTATGCTCTAGGGGTGACTATTGAGGCATTTTTGACTATTGCAATACTATTGCGATAGTTAAAACAACTATTGCGATACTATTGCGATAGTGGCCCTACTATTGCGATAGTTTTCTCTTGCAATTATAGCAGGCTTTAGCAGCATATATTTCAGCATTTTGACGGACACCATCAAAATAATTATAACTTTCTGATACTATTTGTAAAGAAAACAAGAAATGAAAAGAAAACAAGTTCAAATTGACCTCTCAAAAACATTTAATACAAAATTTCACTTCTTGTAACTGGTAAAGTCTTAGGTTACTGCAGTGTTTTAGCACCAATGTGAATGAATGTGATCCAATGACTAGTATTTGACTATACAAACTGTCAAACTCTTTAATTGTCACATTGGCATTCCCTGAATTTTCGACGAAACTGAAGGGCCTGAGGTCCTTAACTATGAATTGCAGTACAGCATCGAGCCTAGTGGTTAAAGCGTTCGCTCGTCACGCAGAAGACCCAGGTTCGATTCCCGACATGGGTACAATGTGTGAAGCCCATTTCTGGTGTCCCCCGCCGTGATATTGCTGGAATATTGCTAAAAGCGGCGTAAAACCATATTCACTCACTCACTCAGTACAGCATCGGTGATCGATTTCCATCGTTGTGAATTGCGTGTCAGCTTCTGAGACGAAAAGATGGTTGATTGCACACGTTTTGGCGTCGAGGTACTGGTACTACCACTGACTGAAGACTGGGATCCCCCTTTTTCACGTGGACGAATATCTGGGTGCCATCTTGTCAAGTATTCGGTCAGATTAGTAGTATTTCCTGAATACTAGAATTATCCGACAGATTCTACAACTTACTTTTTGCTTGTCTGTCTCGTTTTGCGTTTTGACAAAGCCAAAATGATCCCATACCCACGATTTGCCTGCCTTATTGGCAACAATTTCAAACTGACTTGTGGCGTCCGCCATCTTGTCAATGTTGCCTAGCGACGAGTAGCTAAGGGACGTAACTCTAAATCAAACAGACAAAGCAGTGCAATCCTAACGAAAGCACGACAGAGGTGATCATGGGAGTTGTTTCTATGTTTTTTAAGAAAGTAAATGTACCAAACAAATTAACTATCGAAACTATCGATAGTTAGACAAACTATCGCCAATAGTATCGATTGTTTCAAGTTGCAATCGATAGTGTACTATCGTGAGACAAGCAATCGCAATCAATCGATAGTTCGATGTATCGTTACACCACTATTGACATCCCAGTTCAACTGTTAAATTCTTCATGTTCATATGGTATTTTGCAGATTTCATGCCTATGCAGTTGTGATGGAAATGGATTCATATGAACATATGCCTGTTGATCCCCTGATGAACAAAGCAAATATTGTTCTGAAGAAAAGGACCATTGGGGGTTTGCCTCCAGGTGTGGGTGTGAGGGAAGATGTAATCTTGGTGTTTGAGGAACTAGAGGATGCACGCAACATTCTCAGACAAATAACATCTTTACTGCAGAAAACTCCAGAGCCTAGACTTCGAGCTGGTGAGTGTAGATCTATATCACTGATGTTGTTATTATGATGTTGGTTTTCTTCATTGGTATTTAAGTGTCAGTACAGGTAGGTGTGATTTTGAAGGAAGGAGATTAAACATACTGTGTTTTCAGTGTAGAGTTATGTAACCTGTAGATTTGACGACACTCAGTTTTGAATCAAAGTACCCCCAAAAGTTAAGCAGAGACTCTTTTGTGTTTGTGACAATAATGAGTGAAGTGGCTTGGTTTGAGTCAAATGATTATGTTGTAGTTTGCTAATTTAATTAAAACATAAAAGATTATGTTTATGAATCACTTTTAAACAGTGATGATTACCAGGTGTTCATGAAAAGGTGAGTATATCCTCTCCCATAGGTGACACTTGTCACAAACACATGCAAAGGCAAGTTTTTTGTTCACCTGAAAAAACATCAGAACATATTGTGCAAATAAAAATAGAGAAAAAGCAAAGGAGTCAAATTTGGATATGACCCCGAAAAAACATTTTGAAAGCTTTGCACAGGACTTGATCAAACAACTCCCGAGTCTGATGCTCTTTCATGAAATATGGATAGAAAGGGCATGCTCGATTGTACCTCAAAAGTTGTGAAATGTAAACACCAAAGGGAAAGTTGACTTTTCGAAAGTTGAAGTCATCCCTCTTCTCAAAGAGTCTTGTGGAGAGTGCAAGACATGCCATTTTATTTGTGGATGGAGAAACCAAAGAATTATTTCTTGCACAACACAATTTTGTTAGGACATCCATCGTGCCCAATTTGGACCAGTTGGTCAATTACTGCTTTGCTCTTCAAGAAACACCAACAGCTTCAGTGTTCAAGACAAGGCCTATGGCATACTAGTCTCTTTCTTTTGACCGACCACTTAGATGAAACATGACCCTGTGACCCCAGTAATCCTGACACTAATATTTGTAAAAACCTGTGCATTTTTATCGTGCTCTTACAGATATTCTGCTCTGATTCTGCTTGACTTATGAAGCTGAAATTTGACGTGCATTTCCTTCTGAATAAGGCTTCTTCTTTCGTTTTGTTAACATCATTGTGATTTTATTTTCAGTTTGTTATTAAGAAGCACAAGGCACAGAAAACATAAACTTTGTATGAATGATAATGGCTATAGGAAAATTTAAGGTTGTTCAAGGAATCATGATTGGCACAGGGTTAAAATGTCCTGACATTATTTCACCGGTGATCCTGATCAGGACCATGGGGAGCATTTCATGGCCGGTGTACGTCATGCTATCCAACCATGAGACGCTTCTTAAGCGACACGCCTTTGTCAATATGTCTAGATCAAGTCAGCCTCATCCACAGTTCACTACATGCTATTGTATGAATCCAAGAAGAACTTCATTTCAATTTCTGTAGATGCATCTACTGTGGCAGGTCTGTTCTAAGACTGTCTCATCTCAGGCCAAGAAGGGGGGTGAGGGTGGTGGGGGTTAGAGGATTCATAAGTACTATCCAAAAAATAGTTTTAATTTTTAGTATTCTGTTTTTGTATTGATAAGATTTCTATTTTTGTATATTGATAACATTTCATTTTTTACTGCTCTGTTTATATATGTTCGAGTAGCTGTCCATCTCTCAGAAATAGAATTAGTTTGGCTTTCGCTATTGCATCTCTTGGCATTAGGAGATCTACAACAGATAGTGGATCTGACTGCAAGTCTTGTTTTAACTGAGCACCGGCTGGATGGATTCAGGTTGATTGCAAGATGGACAAACTTTGTCATAGTAATGTCTGTGACCGAGTCTGCGGCGTGAGATGGCTCTTTCAACTTTCCTTTCATTCGAGTATGAGTATGGCTTTTGGTGGATCTTGGGTTGAATTTGGTATAGCCATCTGCGGATCTTACTTGCATCCCACTGGGCTATGGAGGCTTTGATTTTGCTTTTTATCTCTAGTTTACTTAAGGGAATAGGCTGTATCTCAGCTTTGTCTAGAGCTTGCTTCACCAGTGTGAAGTGCACTTTGTGAGTCTGATAGGACCCACCCACCCAAGGAGAAAAAGGAGCAGGCATTGCTCGTTGGGGTAAATCCCAGTGACAGGCGTCTGGGTAAGGTTGTGTCCACTAGGGTTGGCAGCAAGCTGCACCCAATTCCTCCTGTCCGCTTTAACTTAGAGCAATTTTCTAAATTCATGCACATTTGGCAACAATCATATCTATGACAGCCATATTTTGACCAACGATTTGCTAGTATGTATAAGGTTATCTCATGTGAAGATACTCTGAGGTCTTGTTCCTATGATATACAAATTATAACGGCTCGCCCACCCATGGGGGTGATGGATCTTTAAACCATAACTCCTTTGTTTTTACCCGTTGTCTAACTAACCTATCTGTTAGTTAGACCACGGCTGGAACTATTTTCCAGAGGGCTTTTCATGTTTCTTTGAACAACTTTACAGAGTGACGCTGACCATTGTTCCAGCTTTACATACACATCTTTCACAAAGCCATAGAAATCATAATCAGCATATGCACAATATATGAGAAAACAAAGAAGAACAGACACTTTTATTTGTATTATTGTTTTTCATACAGAAACACCGAACAAGGCGTTATCTTGTGAATTACAACTTAAGGCGATTTTTATATTCAAGGAAATGTCGAGTGGTCTGTGCATGGAACGTAATCGTTTAACCGACACTTCCATTATATCGGGTGAAGATGAAAGAGTTGACGGGTGTCCCTGGACAATGTTACTGATGGCAGCCTCCTGCTTGGGGCAGATTCTCTTGTAAGGGCGGACAGCATTGCTACGATGACCAGTTGTACTTGCAATCAGCTGTTCATCCACCCCACTGTGGAACAGTCTTGTAGCACATGTCGCATGAAGGGAATGGTTGGTGAAAAAACCTAAGATATACAAATATACAGGAAGTTATTATTTCCGCAGCAACCATTTATAGACAAGATGTTTAATACTGGTCAAAACAGTTGGTACTCACTTTTTATCTCTTGTGACTGTCTCGTTCCCAAGACGCTTCCGCAGTTTTAGTCGCATAGTCCAGTTCTGAAATTTGGGATCCCAAATAAACCATTTCGTCGTCACTTGTGTTAATTCCATCAGCTTTAGGGTCGGTAAAACTTTTCTCAGTACTCACTGGCACTCCATCGTCATCGCTTATATCGCTATACACAAATGTAAAATTCCCTTCTTTTTCCTGGGATAAATGTAAATATCGCTGTGATGATGGTATCGCATCTTCGTCAGTCAAACCCTCCATTGTCGCTCATTATAACGCCAGCACTGCTGACTTCCAAGACATGTGCTCGCCAACTGAATTGTACCTGTGGATTCTGCATTATCATCCACAGAATCCTCAGATTGGGCCTCCTTAACGGATACCAGCCCATACACATGAATACTAAACTTTTGACACATGTTTTAAAATGTGCAAGCGCTAACATCATTAACATACGCGCCTCGTGGTTTAATTAACCATTTCAACGATTAGACACTGGGTCCACGTGGTCTAACCTATACATAATCCTCTCACCCACAGAAGACAGTGTGTATCGGCTTGATGGTTTGAAGCATGCTGCCAGATCCTTCGTGGCTGATGCATATAAGAAGTGTCTACATTGTACTCATCTATCAGGTACCATCATTGAGCAAGCAACATGTGTCGGGGTGAAGCCCCTACACTGCCAATTGATCCCTTCAAGCCTAATAATTACTCTTTCGCAGACATCGAGGAAGAACTCTTTCACCTAATACCAGATTTTTTACACCACTTTGCTGCTACCTTCCTTCATGGAAAAAGTCATAAAATGGATTAGCAAGTGCACGTGCAAGACACAGTCATATCTAAGAACAAGTGACATGATCTTGAATGCACATGACCTACAGAGATAGGCTCCAGTTACGTCCACTACAAGGGCTCTCTATTTGGATACTCTGGCAAAACCTCCCCCTTCTTGGTTGTTGGATCTATTGACGGCCACAATAGTTGATTGTCACATGAGCTAGACTGCATCTCAATCTCTTCGCCACCTGTCTCAACATCAGGCTCAGTTCACGTCAACCCAGTTTCAGACCCACAAGTTCCACATTGGCACCCCCTTTCCATGAGTTGGGAGCGTATGTTTGCCTATGCATAGAGGACATGGATTGCTCTGGCATGGCCCAACAGGGCATGGTTTCCAAGTATGTTCCTACTGCTCCTGGAAGAACCACTCAAACTACAGGAACGTTGTCATCTGAACGGTCGTTCACCATGGTGAACATAATTAATATTCCTTGAGTTTTTGTGTGTAGTTCTCAGCTTATACTTTCATGCTTTTGAAAAAGAAATACTGTGATACATTTTTGTGTATGTGTAACAAAGCAGTTATTCCTCCTTATCATGATTACATCCAATGTCTAAATGCCTGAAAAAATAACTTATTAGTACCCTATTTTCGCCAAAGCTTTAGTTTCATCAACTAAGTTTCTTCTTTATCACTTCATCTCTAACTTGTTGTGTATGATATTTGATTAACCATCCCCATTTGACATTTGCTAAGTGCTCAGGGCACTTATTACGGTGACTACAAGACTTCACTTCACTGCTTTTCTGTGAAAGAATGGAACAACTAATGTTTATTATCTTTCAGAACACATGTCTACGGACAGTGACCTCTCCCTGGAGAAGAATGAGCACAGTATAAGCTCAGCAGAGTGGATCAAAAGATTTGGATTAGAGGCACAGAAACTTGGATTGTATGACATTTTGTCTGGAGTTGCATTTAAACACCAAGACGGTGTGGTTGAAATCATGGAGAAACCACCCAATGAGTCACAGACAGATGCCGTAAGTATCTTGCCACAGCTATCACACGGCACTTGCAATACATTCAATTTGGTAAAGGTCAAATCATTATAATTTTTTCATGTGAAGTTCACACGATATACAACCTTTGCCGAGTCATGTGACTATGAAACTGACGTTCATCAATGTATAAATGACACATTTTGACGTTCATACGTTTTTCTTGAAATGACATACAGAAGACATACAGAATTGTTGTTTCTGATCCTAAAGACACTTCAGTCTTGAACTCTGCATTTTTAGTATATATAGGGGAAAGTTTGACTGCATGCCTGTTCATGAATATCCCTATCCTAGTGAACAAAACAAAGAAATGCATATTCAATCTATTGAAGTGTATTTCACCTGAGCATTGCTTATTTTATAGTGTGTATATGTTATAGTTAGTGTGGAAAATGACCAAAAATTTCAGGCCAGTGGGGGGGCCAAGTGGTTAAATGCCGCTTGTCATGCCGAAGACCCGGGTTTGATTCCCCACATGGGTACAATGTGTGAAGCCCATTTCTGGTGTCCCTTTCCGTAATAGTGCTGGAATATTGCTGAAAACAATACTCACTCACTCACTCACTCACTCATTTTCCCTTAGGCAGTTTATTAAACCCCTAAATATTCAGTTATTTTACAAATTGACTGAACACTCTATATACTTTTTTATTATGATAAGGAAATCCTTACATTTTGATATTGAATTTCATCACCCAGTGACTGAAAATGATAGGATTACGAGAAAACGAAAGTCAAAGTACAGTTTTTTATTGGCTTTTTATCCATGCATACTTAGTCTATTGTGATGTTTTAAGCCCTTTTGAACATCTTTATAATTTTTAGCCAATCTGTTAAGTAAATGGACCTATTTTTCAGTCAATTTGTAGACATTTTACACATTGAAATTTTCATGATCACATTTTACACACTGGCTGTAACATATACACACCTACAAACGAAAAAGGCTTGTAAAAATGACTTGTGTTGCATTGAAGAATATCCCACTGGAAACATAGAGGAACAGGAATCATTCTGCTCTATGCTACAGCAAATAAATGAAAACAAAATGCAAATATTGTAATTGCAACCGACCAAAATTATGGATATAATATTAGACCTTGTTTGATGAATGTATATGTAAATATCCACTTAAAGGAACATTCTATCATGAATTTGAAAACAACTTGATTCTGATTGGTCAATCAGAGGTGGTTAAATCACAATAAACCCCCTCTGATTGAAACAGCTGATTTGAGGTTGCCCCACCGTGTAAGCTAATATTCATAATATAGTACCTTTTTCAGTCAATGTCACTAGGCATATTTAAATAATTTTTTCTACAATTACAGGTTACAAAATGCAAAGTTGTGGTTACTATAATGTACTAACGATGTGTAGCAACACATGATTCTTGCGAATCCTCTTCCTCTGTTACATCTTTGCCATCCTGTATTTTGGCTTCAGTCACACTAACTAAATTTTCAGATTACAACAGACGTCCTCTTCACTGTCAATTACACACAATTGGTTGTTCCCGAATAGCACTATAGCAACCCAAGGTATGACGTGTGTAATGGGGGAAACCTCACGTCTTTCTGTGTGTGCTAGAGTCAACGCCTATTGTTATAGTTATAACGATCTAGCACATGGTTGTATAGTCAAATTAATCTAAGATTGTTCTATAGTTTTCTCATAAGACAGATATATTAAGTCATATTAAGAGCTGCCAATTGTAGTGATGATCATACTCACGTAAGTATTGCTTGTGTGAGGTGTTTGTGAGGTCGTCATGGAGTCTCCCCCGCCTCATGCTTGTAAGAAGTGTGGCCATTTTATGATCACGGGAGATCCTCACAACAGCTCCTGGAAGTCCAGAGAGGCCAAAGGCACTGAAGAGGCAAGATGCGATCAGTGCTCTACTCTGTCTGAGAAGGCCTTCAACAACGAGCAGAAGCCTTCACTAAAGCTAGAAGAAGTAAAACAGACAGTATTTTTTAAGAAGAGTCCTCTGGCATAGAGGCAGCATAGGGGACAGCCATCTGTTCAGACCATAGCGTCTCTACCTACTACTCTATGACAGACAGTATTGTTTAAGAAGAGTTCTCCGGCCAAGAGGCAGCATAGGGGACAGCCATCTGTTCAGACCACAGCGTCTCTACCTACTACTCTATGACAGACATTATTGTTTAAGAAGAGTCCTCCGGCCAAGAGGCACCATGGCTAGGGGACAGCCATCTGTTCAACTGTTATTGATGACCTGCAAGTTGCAGAAAGCCGTGTTCAGTCACCTGAACCTCTCAGTCTGGTAGAAGTAGAGGAGAGGAATGTTATTCCTACTGATGCGGAGGAAGATGGGAATTCTACGGGTGTTGGCACTGATAGTTCTGGAGTAGGCTCTGATATTTGTGGCTCTCATTATCCCCCGCCGCGCGAAAGCGCGAAGCGGGGGATATAGTATTCACGACCGTCCGTACGTCCGTACGTCCCACCTGTTTGTTGCCGCGATATCTCAAGAACTAAACACTGGATTGTCTTCATGTTTGGAACTATGGTGTATATACAGACACCGCAGACACCAGTCGGTTTTGGTGACCTTGACCCCATTTTCAAGGTCACAGCAGGCAAATCTGCTTTTTGAGTTTGAAAACGGTGTTGCCGCGATATCTCAAGAACTAAACACTGGATTGTTTTCATATTTGGAACTATGGTGTATATACAGACTCCGCAGACACCAGTCGGTTTTGGTGACCTTGACCCCATTTTCAAGGTCACAGCAGGTAAATCTGCTTTTGGAGTTAGAAAACGGTGTTGCCGCGATATCTCAAGAAGTAATCGCTGGATTGTCTTCATATTTGGAACTATGGTGTATATACAGACACCGCAGACACCAGTCGGTTTTGGTGACCTTGACCCCATTTTCAAGGTCACAGCAGGCAAATCTGCTTTTTGAGTTTGAAAACGGTGTTGCCGCGATATCTCAAGAACTAAACACTGGATTGTTTTCATATTTGGAACTATGGTGTATATACAGACTCCGCAGACACCAGTCGGTTTTGGTGACCTTGACCCCATTTTCAAGGTCACAGCAGGTAAATCTGCTTTTGGAGTTGGAAAACGGTGTTGCCGCGATATCTCAAGAAGTAATTGCTGGATTGTCTTCATATTTGGTACTATGGTGTATATACAGGCGGGGGACATTTCGTCACTTCTGTGACAAATACTTGTTTACAGTTGGTAGCACCAACAGCTGTACGTACATCAGTTTTTGAATATTTGCATACTTCACGTACAGCGTGCATGCTCGGCTAGGCGGAAGCCATGATTGGGAGAGCCAAGATGTAAGGAGCGTGTTCATTGGTTGTGTCCGTTTTCCTGGTCACATGGTCCGCATGTGAGCTTTATAAGCCTACCCTGGGTAGAGAAACATCAGTCATCGCTCACCAGTACCTGGTAAGATACAGTCAGCTCCCGCGCCCTGAATCAGGACCATTTATTATTTATTATAGGGCTTTTGTTGGGATGTTAGATTAGGAGGTATGGGTGGGGGAAAAAGAGAGTAGCGATTGAATAGGTTTGTTTTGGAGAGTTAGAAGGAAGGTTAAAAGAACAAGTTTAAGAAATAAAGTTGAATTGGGTTACGTAGGTAGGGAAGGGGGAAAATTACGTAGGTTATAGTTAAGTGGAGAAGGATTTTGCCCCTGTTGTTTTTTTGTTTATTTTGTTAAATAAACTTTAAATCCAACTTTGCTCTTTGTTCTCTATCAAAATATAGAATTGGTAGCCCGGTCAGGAGCCTCCTAGAACATAGAGACAAAAGAATACTGCCCAGGGAGAAGAGAACACAACGCAAAGCACCGCAGTAAAACATCAGACCTTTTGTCAACTATTTTTATGTGAAATGTTCAGTGGGTTTAGTAAAGTTTTGGAGCCATTCACGGTAAATGCTACTCCTAATGCTGAATCTGATGATTCAGATGCAACCTGCACTTGTCCAGAACATTTTCTAAACCGTACAACCTTGCTTCCCAAAACTTGGTACACTTAACAATCAGGCTCAGTAGAAGTGCCTTTTGCTATTTAGAGATTTTAGAATTTTATATTTTTGTCGTTTCCATGGAAATATGATGAACTTAGGAAATTTGAGGGTAGTGCTCTTGTCCGGACCATATCTCCCGAACCATACAACTTAGCTGCTCAAAAGTTTTTACGCCTATCAAGCAGGTTATGTAGTGGTGCCTTTGCTATTAACAGATTTTTATAATCTTTAAAAACAATTTGGGCACGATCCTAGACGAGGTCACACAGGACATGACAGAAAGGTTTCAAGTGTCTACCATCAACCTAGCAGTCAAGGCACAGGGACCGCCGTACCCGCCTTAATAAGCACAAGAACCAGCCAGGGATTCCTCTTTCAATGAACCACCGCTAAAGAAGTTATCCCATCAGGGAAAGAATCCTACCAGGCATCCCGGTGTCATGACAAGCCATCGTCAGATTCTTTTCGGAACTCAGATTCCAAACACTGTGGATCTGGCCGTAGAGGTTTCAAGTCCGGAGAGCGCGGACAGAAGATGACTTGTTTCTCCCCCCTCAAAGCATCACAGATCCTACCGAACTGGGTTTTACTACGGATTACGATACATGACTTCTGCAATTGGTTTTACATTACGCCTGACCACTGGATTTTATACGTTATCTATCACAGGTACAAGCTACATTTCATCAAGCGCCCTCGACTTGTATCCTGTCCGGAGGGACACAGGTTTCATATTAGTAGCCCCTTGGTTATTCAGAGGAATAATGGCGCCAGTCATCAACTTCGCCCATTTACAGATTGTACGACTTCATGGATACCTAGACGATTCCTGGCCACCAATCAGGAACACACCAAGCTGTGTCAGGATGTGACATTCCTAACCCAACTCATGTCTTATCTCGGGTTCCTTATCCATCCGACCAAGTCAGAGATTTATCCGGTACAAGACATAGTCTACATCGGGGCCAGATTTCTTCAACGTACAGGATATCTTTGCCCCCCGGAGGACCGGTTCAACAAGTCCATTGCCATGAGCAACTCAGTCAAAGAGATGAAAGCAATCTCTTATGCTCTCCAGACTTGGTAAGATCGCCTCATCAAATCATCCGTCCAGATTGCCATAGATAACATGACAGTGGTGGCCTACATTCAGACGCAAGGCGGAACCAAGTCCAGTTCGCTGATGACAGAAACTACTCAGGTATTTGCCTTGGCCGACTCATTCAGCTGCCGGATGGAAGCGAGACATATTCCAGGCAAACTGAACAAAACTAGCGGTCAGCCTATCCTGGAGAGTGAGGATCTCTTCACCCAGACATTTTACCTGGATAACCTCCATTTTGGACACACCGCATCTGGACCTCTTGCAACCTGTCTCAGCCATCAACTTCCAGTCTATGTCAGCCCGGTCCCAGATCTGAGAGCTCTCCAGAGAGATGCACTATCCATGGATTGGACAGGAATTTTGCCAATGCTGTCCGTCCCACCATGCCCTCTCCTAGACAAGGCCATACAGAAGTTTGAAGTGACAGATTGTACATTCATCCTCATTGCTCCAACTTGGCAAAGCAGGACATGGTATCCCAGACTACTATCACTCCTGATGGACGAGCCACTCACTCTTCCCCTTCGCAAAGATCCGTTGCATCAGCCCAGGTCGAGCCTATTTTACTCCAGTCCTCCAAGCCTCCATATCTCACCGCCTGGAAAGCATCTCGCAGAGAATGCAGGCCTCCGGGTTCTCTCAAGCTGCCTCTACTGCTGTCACAAGATCTTTGAGATCGTCATCCACCCAACTTTATGACAACAGATGGAACAAATTCGTCCAGTGGAGACACAGATGTGGTCTAACAAATGTCACAGTGGACATTCCTGTGGTTGCATATTTCTTCCTACACCTACGACAGGATAATAGCTTCCGACATGGGACCATTGAAGGATAAAGATCTGCCCTCTATTCCGTTCTCCAGCTCGATTGATTATTGTTCGGAACACATCCGGTACTTAACAGACTCATGCGATCATTCAGCCAAGAGGATATTTGCATCCCCCGAATCTTCCCTAAATGGAATTTATCAGTCCTCCTGTCTGCCTTACTAGCTGCTCAATACAAACCCCTTGGAAACGCTACCCTTCTACAAAATCCTGTAAGGCAGGATTTTTACTAGCCATGGCTACCGCAGCTAGAGTTTCTGAACTCCACGCTCTCGACTATTCCAGTATCACTCATGCTCACAATTGGACCCCCATTACCTTGCGGTCTCTACCGGACTTTATAGCCAAGAATCAGTCCACGGCTACTTGTCCATTATACTATTCCTGCTATGCAATCTAGCAATGCCCACGAAATCCGAGCTTTGGCAACAAGTCTGGTCATTCGTATCCATCAAGCAAGTCGTAGCAGGATACCTATTGGGATCATACAAAACTTGTGAGATATCCAGCCAGACCTGACAGGGATTCAATTGTTGTGGCCCAGATGATTGTATGTCCCTAGTTTTTCCTCCTTTCTATGAGAAAAAAACGGGGAGGCGGGGAGGATCTGACATTAGCAGCTACAGAAGGTGAATACACCTTTTACCTTGACTTACTAGTATGGTTATAAAGGAAATCAGAACAGCAGTATCAGAACAGCTGATAAACAGATCTACCGGAAGTGACGTCACAATCGGAAGGAGTTTAGACCAGAAGTGATCTCATGACTGGAAGTGACATTATAAATGACGTCAGAGGTCCTAGAAATGACATCAAAACCAGTCAAAAGAGGAACTGACGTCATTAGAACCGGAAGTCATGTCATAACCAGAAGTTGATAAACCGGAAGTGATGTCACTCTCAGAATCAGAGACATATGATGAGTTAAAATAGAACTAAAGACATCATTTCATGATTTTCAGCAAATAATAAGATACTTTAAGTGATGGTATCGCATATTGACTGATATAATCATAGTACCCAATTTCAAGTCCTCCAAGAGAGATTCTAGAGAAATTACCATATTCAACATAATAAGCGCCCAGGGCGCTCTCAAAATTAGAAATATGGGGCTCTCATTAGAATATTCTTTTGGTAAAAAAAAAAGAGTTGAAAGATAAATTTCTTGGTTTAGGCTGACAGCCTGAAATGATTATGTACGACAGATATATTCTTTCAGAATTTATTTGCCCATAATTCAGGGTGCCTATAACACATGAGTGTGTATCATACTTGAATAAATAAGTCTTGTGTACACTGATCAATAGGAAGGGATGCTAATTAGGATTGTTCACTATCCAATATATAAGCAAATATCACCGTGGGCGCTAATTACGTCGAATACGGTACTTCTTGAAGGGTTGAATCCAGTAATATGCAAGAACTCATGCAACAGTATTGGATTGCTGTCAACTACACAGTTACTGGAGGCAGATCCCGCCTATCCCCCTGGTATATTCTGGCTATGATGTAATAGAGGTTAAGGATTTGCAGGAATTATCAAACAATAGTTATCATTGTATATAATTCTAAGAATGCTACATCTATTACACCAGGAAGTACTGCCACCCACCTTCCCAATTCATCTACCTCCAGTGGAGATGTTTTGGAAAGAAATGACGTTTTTCCCGCCTTTTTGCACAGAAGAGCTGAAGAGCTACATGTGCTATTAGGGGAACAACTAGTTGTGTGTAGTTGACAGTGAAGAGGACATCTGTTGAAAATCTGAAGATTTATTATTAGTGTGTCTGCAGCCAAAATACAGGATTTATGGCTGTGATGTTATAGACGTAGTATTCTTAGAATTATTAACAATGATAAGTATTGCTTGATTTTGAGATTTCTATGTCAAGCGTTTATCAACATCATATCATCAAGTACAGGAAAGGTTATGTGATGATTAATTTTTGTGACCAACTTTCTTTTGAAATCTATCTTCAGGTATCCCGAACAAAGCTGGTAAATGCCCGTTATTGTGACCAATTCCCCATTGTGCGGTGGCGTGATGGACAGGTGGTGCATGTACAAGTGACACCAGATGTTCACAGACATTATGAACAAAGAATGGAGGTGGAACTGCAGAAGATCCAACAGAGGTAAGATACAAAGCCCTAAAATATTGTATAGTTTGAAAAAGTGTGTTCTAAATATAATATCAAAGTAAATAAGGAAATGGTCAAATCAAGGTTCCACAATCACTTCTTTATGGAAATGTTTAGAATATAAGAACAAATAGAATCATTATTAATTCAGCTTGTATTAGACTGCAGCAATTCATCATATTACTGGTAAGCCAGAATGAGTTAAGTTGTGACCTGACAATTACCCCTTTATGACTATGTGTAAGTTCCGCCCACTGTCGTGTATCATTGTGAAGAAAGGGGTAATGGGTGGTCTGTGACAAGTAGTTCAATGGAACTGTGAGTGTCCTGTCTCTGCTAACAAAGTGTTCTAGTGGCGAGTTTCAAGAGCACATAATAGCAAGTGCTGATGTCAGGTACTTGATGACTGTGAAAATGGTTAATTTTGCATAGAAAACAACAATGAGAAGTATCGTGACAGTAAAGGGGGTTCATTTTCTGCACAAATGGAATACATTTGTCATGAGCAATACCTTCTACTCTTATGCGCTTTAGTTACAGACCAGCGGCAATGCTAGAGATTTATTTGTACATTCTTTCTCCATGTAATTTATAACATTATGAGGCAATTCTTTAGCCTGAGAATTTATGATTTGGCAATGCTTACTAAGCTTTGTTTATTTATTTGTAATTAACTTCTGTCAAACAATTTTTAGAGAATTCTGGTATTGACTTGTCACACCAACCTCTTAAAAGTCTTATGAGCAACACATGTGTCCACAGCAGAAAAGTCAATTAATTGTCATGACCTTCACATGCACATCATGTATACACCCTCTCTTTGTTGGTTCAACATACATAGAGGTTATCACGCCAGTGTGTTTGGGGATGGTAAATATCATGCATTAGGAATAAACATTGTATTTAGTGAGCCTTGGCCAGCTACATACATAGTGTTTATTCCTAATACTGGATATTTACAATCCCCAAAAACACAGGCGTGATAACCTCTTTATCATATAATGTCTTTCTTTAATTCTGTGCTTGAAAGTCGCTTTCTCTCTCTCACAAACATTACCGAAACATTGCGAGCTGTCCTGGAATGCACACATTAATATTTATTACGCCACAGGGTAAGTGATGTGTCAGTCGGACAGCGACAGTAGCCAATTTAGTTCCAACTGAAATCTGTTTCTTATACAGTGGCGAAGCAACATGTACGCAAAACAACTATTGTTTTTACTTGCCTTTCGCGGCAATCCATCGGTCTGTCCGCTAAAGTAACTGCCCTTTGTCAAAGGGAAGCTACTCTAACCCTAGTCTATGAGACGTCGTGGCCATGGTCAGACGTTTTTGACAGTCGCCCTGTCCTGTCATAACGTTAAGAAGTGCAGTCAGATGTACACACAGCGACAAAATGAAACAAGGTAACAATTCAAACATATTTTGGCAGAAATCCAACAATTTTAATTTATGGAAAAGGTTTCAAGACGCAGAGGTCTACAAGCACAGATCCCCTACTGATCCTGCTTGGCTAGGCCTAGTGCCCTCGCTAAATTGTTTCGAAATTTATATGTTCAATGTTGCCAAAACTTATAAAATGCCTTAGCTACGTCACAGTTAGACACTTATTTACAGTATATTGGACTGTTCTTTTAATAATGATAGCAATTATCCCTGTAGTTTATCCAGATTCCCGATGGTTAATTCTGACTCGATCGCCGAATGACAAGGGCGACGCCATGTTTGTATATAAACACTGAAAGTAGTCCCTACTTGACCTTTGATATTTGTATCTCTATCCGCATATGACCCCAACGGATATCGTTTTTATCCGTTGGCTTTATCCTGCCGAGAAACCCACCCATTATATGATAAACTGCATTACCAGCATGTCACCGGTCATGGTCTCTGTGTCACTGTCAAAACAAAACTTCCCTGCTGTCCCATCTTTCTCCAATTCATCTTTCTCATTGCAAATTCAAGAGTGACTAGATCTGGGCTCGTAACATCCCTAGCCACTTTCATGTAGCCAGTTGGGGATGCATTTTTTGTGAAGCCTGCTGATGTGTCCAAATTTGTCTTGAATTGTTTGACACAGTCTTTGACTAGCCAATCATGGGATGCCAGTGTGACTCCAATGGTTCAGGCAGAATTTAGCTACTTAACATAGACACCCGTTGACAGATGACAAAGTAGAAACAATTTATGGATAACAACAGTAAATAAAGACGTTGTTATCCATCAATTGTCTCTACTTTGTTCCACAAACATGTTTTGGAATCACTTATCAGCCACATATTGTCACTAGCTAAAAGCAAATAGGAGAATGCTATGTATCACCAGGTCCCTTTTCATCTTACATCCCAATGTAATGCCAAATGTACAGGGAAATTGGATGCAAGTATAACGGTAGTTCTATGGAAGTATACCATTAATCTACCATCTCCTTGGCATTATTCCGAAAACGGGACGTTTGTTGAGGTTTTAGATGATGTGCAAGAAATATTGGTCAAAATAACTAGAATGGTGTTTTCTGAAACAATTAGGTAACCCCAAACTCTGGATTTAGAGGAAAATACCCAAATTGTATAGGCATCACAGAGTTTGGAGTTAATCTCTTTCTTTAATTTCAGTAGACTGTTAACTTTCCAAGGCTTTACTAAATGTCAGAACCCTCTGATAACTCAGGTATATTCTGGCACTGATGTAATAGAGGTTTTGTTATTTGTAGGAATTATCTAACATTAGTTATCATTGTTAATTTTTATAAGAATACTACCTAAATATTCTACATCTAGTTTGCTGATGTCGGAGAGAAGTGAAATTTTCCCGAAGAGTTATGGATAGTTAACAGTGCAACTTATGTTGATAATTTGAAGTGTTTTTACAGTGTGATGACAGTCAAAATACAGGGTTTCTGTCACTGATGTAACAGAGGTAGTGTATTTTCATTGAATTAGCAATGATAACTATTGTTTGATTTCTAGATTGAATGTTGTTCAGTAACAGTTTTATTGTCTCTACGCCAGTAGATGCCTGTTATGTTATTGTTATTATCAGTTGTAAAGGTAGGGCTCTGTATGTACCTGGATTCTGTATTGCAATATTATTGCCATACTTTAACCTGTATTGCGATACGTATTGCAATATATTGCCAATTTACATTTTCATGAGTTAATCAGCATTATATCCTGTATTAATGACAATCACGCTGTGTTGTCAGAATCCTTTATTGATAAATCGTTTGACTTTGTCATTTTTTTTGTTGGTGACGATGCAAATTTTTTGGATAAGTTGTTGATGCCATAAACATATGACAGACAGACAGACAGACAGACAGACAGACATGTTTATTCAGTAAAAGGCCAATGCCCCAAAATACAGACATGTGAGCATGACATTTACAGGGCACAGAATTTATCATTAATTATTTTGTGAGCATAATATAAGAATTTACAACCTAGAAATAATGTTTGCTCATTATAATTACTAAGAATATTTATTACATGAGAATTACTGTAATGAGTAGGCATAGGAAGATTAACAAGGTATTTTTGTCTTAGGGCAGAATATAAATTACAATTAAAGAGTATATGAAATTCATCCTCAATGACATTAACTCCCTTACTACTACAATAGTTACAGAATCTGAGTGAACGGTCTGTTTTACTATATCTGCCAGTTTCTAAAGCTATTTTAAAATTTGAACATCTGAATTTAGTAAAAACAATTCTTAAATGGGTAGGGAGTGGACATGACAAGTACCTTTCAACATTTAACATGGATTTAAAATGCTTATAAAGATCACATTTTGGAGAAGAGTTTACAGAAGCACTCCAGAATTGCTGTAAATTATCTTTGAGCCTTTGCTTAAAATGGAGAATAAAAGCTTCAGAGTCACCCACCTCTTGATTGAGCCATACAAAACCAAACCCAAATTGGAATAAAATATTTCTAACTTTAGTCACCCAAGTTACCCGCCCAACATCATCTAAAGATTTAAGCATTAAATAGCATTGGGAAGGTAATCTGTGGGGTTGAAGATGTAAGAGCCTGCACCAATATTTAATTACTTTAGTCATGTAAGTGAGTTGTAAAGGAAACCTCCCACATTCCCCTAAAACCATATTTGAGCAGGTTGATTTGTTTACTTTTAAATAATGCTTACAAGACGCGATTTGGACAGGCTGATTTTTTTACAATAGCAAGTACCCCAAATTTCAGAGCCATAGGTTAAGATGGGGGTGACCATAGAGTCAAAAACCTTAAACAGATCTGTACAAGTGATATTACCAATTTTCCTTTGAAAAGAGTTAATGGCTAAAATTGCTTTGGTGGCTTGGGATGCTAGAGTATGTATATATAGTATACAAACAAATGGGAAATGGAATTCTGTGATGTGGAAGAATATTCTTCAAACTTACTTTCTCGCACGTAGACGGCAATGTTGGCGAATGTAATCCTGGGTGATGCCGACGCACATGTGTTGTGAGATTACATGTTCCTCCCACATATCTCAATACAGCCTGGCAACGGCATACCACTATGTTGTCTTCAACATTTGATTTCCCCTTCAGTTTCTTCAAGCCCAAGAATTGCCAGACATCAGCCTTAGCTCGCTTATTTGGGACGATGTCGAAATCATCTGCCATTTTGTATCCCAGCAATGATCAAGGGAGATAATACGGTCACATGGTAGCACAAGCTCCTTCCCAGCGCATGACACCATAGTTATACTCTTGGTATAGAGAGTTCCGCGAATGGGCTGTCCCTGTGAGGATCTTGATTGTCCCGATGTGTACACGCTAATTGATAAAAAGATCGTCAGAGGCAAGTTGTATCAGAAAGATACTATTTTTTATCTCTGTATCGATTAGGAACACATAAATATACTTACTTATATTTGCCCCAATATATTGCTACATTTACAAACGTATTGCAATACGTATTACTGAATATTTGCACCACAATATACCGGTGTACCGGTAATACCCCACACCCTTATGTAAAAG